ACTGAAGATTTGAAACGATTTGGATTTGATACGAACAGAACCCTAAAGGATACAATGACTTAGTAACTTTATGCGAAATATCTTTTTCCACCTCTTTTCTTTTTTTTTTAAATCTTTTTTAAAGCTTTAAGGATCTTACTTAGTTTTCCCTCAATTACCTTCAAGCTTTTTCTAACCTCTCGAAATGGATCGCATTGCCTTGTTCATCTTTTTAGCTTGAACCTGAGTGTTATACGGGTCTTGAGCTATTCTTGCCCCTTGATTTCCATAATATGCAAATTTAGAATGATGTTTATGAGAATGGATGCAAAAACCAAATGCATGAATGCAATAAGAAAAATTTACCACATAACAATTGTTATCAAAGAAAATGTTTATTGAATTGAAAGTCATTTTCAGTCAAATCCAACATTACATCCATGAAAAGTTTAGAATTTATTGGGAAAAAAAATTCATAACTCGTCGATACTAGTTTTGCATTTTATTAAGGAAATCTATCAATTCTTGACCATTTGCTCCCACTGGTGGTAACCTTGCCTTCTATTTTTCAATTTGTTTTGCTATGTCCTTGGCTTTGTAAATAGCTATAGTGATTTAATCAAGTAGATACTCCTACTAGTAATGTTTTCTCACATATGCTTCTTTCATTTGTTTATTCAATCACAGCCCCCATTTGAGCTTTGATTCTCACTACTATTCCATGTAGCATTTGAATGTGCCTTTGTGCTTCAAAGAGCATTTCATCCCTTTCTCATAGCTTTGCTTGCAATTATCCATTTTCTTGTAAAAGTTAGATTAATTCTCGATTAGTAGATGATCGTATTGTGTTAAGGTCAGTGAACAAAATCTTTCATTCATTATTTTCTTGTTTAAGTGCTTGGATTTCCTTTGTTAATTTTTTGTTTGCAAGCTTAAACTCTTCAAACTCCCTTTTTAGACTAGTAAAGGATTTTGTTAGGCTTTTCTTAGATATAACTGAGACTTTTCTTATTAAAATTATTTTGTGGCAAATATTCCTTATAATAAATCTAATGATATGAATACATGATAAAAGGAAAAAGTTAATAGGCATTAAAAAATATTATAAATATAAAGACCAACATATAGGGTTAGTATACAAATATATAGAAGAAAAGACAATACATAATTTTACAAGTAAAACAAACATCCAATCATGTATCCTATTTAGGATTTTCTAACATAGGGGAAGGTGTGGCTCTACCTAGGTTCAGACCCTTAGGGTTGACTATATATGGCTTGGATTATTTCTAAAAGGTTCATAAATTATTTCTTACATCATTGTCCATCATAGACTAGTAACGCACCCCGATCTTTGCCCATCATAGGTTACAAACAAAAAGGGTTCAATTTGAGTGAGAGTGTTTCGTAGGCCCAAATGAAGACATGAAATCTTATGAAAGCATAGGTACTTCACTCCTTCATAAGGATAAAGCTCGGGTGGAGAGCTTTGTTTTATGCATATGCAAATGAATGACAGATATATATATAAATGAATAATTGAACAAATATAAGCAGGGAAAAGAAAGAAATAGGAAAGAAAGAAAAAAAAACTCAAATTTATCAAGCAAGGCTTGGATAATAAGAAATCATTTACTGACTTGACTCTCGATCTTCCCAGCGGAGTCATCAAATTATCATAATGTATAGATCCGTGGCCTACCACTAGACATAGATTAAAAGAGTTACCACCAATTTTTTTTTAAGTACGATTGGTCACCTGATCGAATCTGTCCCCTTTAAAAAAGAGTCTTAAAATTGACTTAGGTATCTTTAAATAGTAGATTCTAATTCACGAAATCAAATTTTAGGTTCGAAAGTATGATTATGTGTGATGAATGTTATAGCACTCCTACAGCACCCATCCAAAGAATGGTACTAGTTTGATTTCAAATTATCTAAGATTTAAACATGTTTATAATTTATCAAAATATTTAATATCGAAAATTGATCTTAAGATTACTTTAATAGTTTGGTAGTAATTTAAGATAATTTTTTCACCTCAAAAGTATTCATGAGACTAGTGTCCCACTTTGAAGATGCTTCGTCAGTAAATTTATTAATGTATTTTATTCAAAAAAATTAGCAAAATCCTTCAATAATTTGGTAAGATTTACTTTAAGGTAGATCTCCCAATAATTTAGTGAGATTTTATTTGAAAATATTTATAAAAATTTTATTTTTTGAGAAAATTCACTAAATTACCTAATAGTTTGGTAAAACTTAATTTAGAAAGTAATCCTCCAATAGTTTGGTAGGATAAAAATTATTTTTTTATTTTTTAAAATTTATTTATAAAATTTCTCAATAGTTTGGTGGATTCCATAAAATTTAAATCCATAAAAATTCTTCAATAGTGTGGTAGGATTCATGAATTTGTTTGAAAAGATTTTGTTTTTGTTTTTGGTTTTTCAGAAATAAAAATATAATTTTTATAAAATATTTAATAAATAATAAATTGCTTAGTAAAAATAAATAATTAATAAAAGTCAGTAAAATAAAATAAATCAAAATAAAATAAATCAAAATATAAAATAAACAAAAATAAAATCAAAAAATAAAAATAAAATGAAAAAAGAAAAACTCATGATCGGGTCAGGTTGAACCACGGGTGATGTGCGAATCCTATTCAAGTTATGAGCAAATTTGGGCTCGTAAAAATGGTATCGTTTTGAAACTCTATAAAAGCCAAGTTCTCCATTTTGTCTTCAGACGCTTTCGGTCCCATCTCTCTCTAGCTCAAAATTTTTTTTGACTTCTCTATAGAAAAACCCAGAAATTCAATCGAAAATTAGAAAACACACTAATTTCTACAAAACTGGTCAAAAACTAAACAAAAAAACTCAAATCCTGTTGGAAAATTCAATCAAAAAATTAAAAAATCATCTCAAAACCCAAAATTTTCCTAGATTCTTTAAAATTTTCCAAAAATCCAACCTTGATTCCATAAATCCAAAATCTCAATCCTCACACCCTATGACAAAAACCAAAAAATCCAAACATCTTTCAACCACCCAAAACTTCGAATCCCATAAACCCAACTAACCAGACTTTTCCCAAAATTGCAACAACAAAGGTTTTTTTTTTTTTTTTTAAATTCCTCTCGTGTCCTGTTTTCTGTAATATTGTCTAGTTTATAGGCCTCATTAGTAAAAATTTTAGGAATCGAACAAAATAAATCAAAGCTTGAATCTTGAGATTGGATTCTGCTCGAACCTGATTTTAAGTCTAAGTTTTTGTTGATTTATTTGAAAAATCCTTGGATTTGATTCTGATTGACCATGTAAATCGGATTTCTTTGTGATTAGAGATTTCAGATTCCTTATTCAATCGCAATTTAAGAAGAAACAGAAAGGTAATAATAATAATAATAATAATAATAATAATATAATACAATATAATATGGGTAATAATAACAAATAATAAAAATCGATTTCAATTGATTCTGAACACAGATGAGTTATTACAGTTGTCATAATCATTCTTTTAATTTTTCTTATTTTTAAATTTAGATATTTGCATATTCAAATTTTAGTTTTGACAAGAGATTATGTTGCAAGACTTCATATTTCCTTTGTCATTATATAGCTTCGTAATTTAAGTACTTTGATATAATAAAATTAGAATATTATTGTATTTTTTGACAAGTGTCAACATGTGAATTTTAGAGACTTGGTTTATAAATTGTAATTTTTAAAGACCTTTTAGAGTTTGGACTTGTTATATTAGTATGATATTTTAGAGTTTGATTAATATGATATCTATTGTCTTACATGCTTGTGGGATCTTTTTATGAATATGCAACGTTGTTTACTTTCAAATCTTCAGGTTTAAGACGTAATATAAGATTAGATCGACATCATGTAGATAAAAAGATAATAATATATGGAAAAATATTTATTAACTAAATAGTTAATTTTTAATTAAAATAATGTTAAAAAATAAATTATTAATTTTTTTATTATAAATATGTAAAAGAATAAATAATTACAAATATTTTTTCTAAAATTAAAATTACACGTATCTTTTCTATCTTTGTCAATTTTCAAAAATCTTACTATTAATTTCTTTTAAATTAAAAAAAAAAAAACATATCACTTTAAGCCTATTAATAATAATATGTGATATGTCAATTTTTTTCCAATATTCAATTTTCTTTTAAAATTTATGTTGCTTTTGTGATTTTGTTGTTTATTTTATTTAGATGATTTTTTTTGACATTATTTATATTCAATTCTTTTTTGTTAGTTACATATTTTTTAATTGATTTTTCTTTTCAGTATTTTGCTCAAAATTATAATCTAAAAAAGATGTGTAAATATTTTTTTATTATTTAATTGATCATTTAATATTATATTTTGATGCTATTCTAAAAATCTAATATTATATTTACATTCAATTCTTTTTTACTTTTTATTTCATATCTAATATCTCATTTTTTTTCATATTTATTTTCAGTATTTTGATCAAGATAATAATAATAATAAAGTTTAATATTTATGACATGTTAATTAATATATATTTATATTTTATATGCCATAAATTTTAAAAGCTTAGATATAATTGTAAAAAATATATAAATTTTATGATATAAATATATATTTAAATAGATAAAATAATTTATACACAGTATGAGTTATAAACTAGTTAGATTAGATGACTTGTAACGTGTACATAAAATTTCTCATACGTGACACGTTTGTTTACTTTTTTACTAATACGGTTTTTTTTTTTTTTTCAATTCTTTTTTTTAGTAAAAAATCAAAATCATTATAAGGAAAAGTTTGGGTACCAATATAGCAATACCCAAAACTGGTATTTTATCAAAAAGAAAGCGTGAGCTTTACGCTAACCCTAAGCCCAGTTAAATTGAAGTGCTATTGTATCGGGCTTCGGCGAATTCTTTTATTGGTGTTGTTGTGTTTTCTTTAACAGAATAGGGCGGTTTTCTTTTAATGCAAAAAAACTATAAAAATTTTTTAAAACTGAAATTACATAAACACTCAAGAAAAAGGGAAATAAATAAGGATAACGCTATTCTCTTATATAACGTGCGAGAATCAGAATTTTCGCGATAGTGTCGCGTGATCTCTTTCGTTTTATTTATGTGACTCGCGTCTATGAATTTATTTATTTATTATAAATAAATCAGCCTCTCCATCTGATTCTAACCTATCAGAATTAGAATTAAGGCAAATTTGGAGAGTAGACGAAACAATGGCTCCCTTCTGTTTACGTGGCCGTTTTCATCACTATAATAAAAGTTTCAAATTGCATTCCAAGAATGTAATCGGTTGCCCTTACTGCATCTTCCATATATAGTTTTTGAAAAATATGAAATTGTTTTGAGCTATGATTTAATAATTTGAAATTTTTGCAATGTTTTGTAGGGAAAGAGAAAGAGTGGAATGAAGAACATGCAAGAGAAGTTAAGGAGGCTGAAAGCTGAGATGGAGGAAATCAGCGAGGAACAGAAGAATATAAGAGAAGGGCAGAGAAAAGTGAGGGAAAAATTCGAAGCGATTGAAAGCGAGTGTGAGGAATTGAAGAGAGAAACTAAAACCATTATCCAGCAAACTGCCAGGACCCAAATCAAGTTGGCCCTCATGTTCCGAATTTTCAAAGCCTCCCAACAGGCTGATCTCGCCACTGTTGCCAATCTCAAGAACTTGCTTCGGTACTTTTTTTTTTTTCTCAATTTTGTTATTCTCAATGTTTGTTTACGCTTTAATTTGGCCTCCCTTTGGTTGTTAGTTGTTGCGTTTTTGTATATATGAAAATGTATTTTTATATATTTTTCATGGACCAATTTTGTTAAAATTTAATTATTTTCTATGTTGATTTAAAATTTCTTTGATCATGACTAGTGATTATGTAAACTGTCCTTGGATTTCATAGTTTTTAGGGTGATTGTGTTTCAATTTGCTTAAGGCTTTATTCATTATTGTTGTTTTTTTTTTTTTTGGATGATCGAAATTCTATCATACAAAGACGCTGGATAACTTGCTACTGAAGAAACTAAGTTAAACCAATATAGAATTAAGATTTTGGTATTGAGGCGTCACTGCTGAGAAATTCCTTCATTCATTGGCTTCTTAGCAAGCTCTGATATAGAATTAAACCATAGTTGAACATCATTTGTATCAAACTTTAAGATCATTGCAGCTGCTTTATTATTGTTATAGTGCTTCATAGAGTTCCTTTCGTTTTGAACTTAGTAAATGTAATTGGACCAACCAGCCTTAGCACATTGGCAACAAAACTATTGCCTCTCATGTCCCCAATAGACCCAAAAAGCTCATAATCTGAATAACCAACCATTTGTTTATTCCTGAAGCTTACATTAGATTAGAAATAATAAAGATTGAAATGAATTGAAATGTTCTGTGAACAGAATTTAACTAAAGTTGCAATCCAGTCAAGGATTGCCAACCACTAAATAATAGACTGTTTTCTAGAAGTTTATGCCAGGGAACCCTAGGGTTCTTTTCCCTAAGACATTCTACAATGAGTAGTCTTGAATTTCCAGAATTAAAAGGATTCTTTCATATTCAATTTATGCCTGAATCTTGATCTTGCTTAATCTGCCGGAATGCCAGGCAAAGAAGCTTTCTCCACTTTCAAGTACATAACACAAGAATATGGACCTGTCACTACTTTGATTTATGTTAGGTTTTAATTGTGATTAAAATTTTGCTTCTGGAAGAAAAGCTATTTAGAAAGTTGTTTGACTCATAATTCAATTGATGGCTTTTTAATTTCACCAATTCTGTTTTGCTTTGCTATTAAAGCAAACAATTATGCATTAATCTAGTTATATATATATATATATATATATATATCTTTTTTAAATAGGATAGGACAAATTGGCTTTAAGTTGGTCGATGGAATAGAAAGAAACTATATGAAAGAGAGATTTAGGGTCACAATTACTTGATTCAATCAAGTACCTCTTTCTATTCTTTTGTCTATGGAAAGATTATATTTGAAATGATCCTTTTCTACTGGAAATTATCCTTTTTTCCCTTCCTGTTATCCTTTTTCCAATTTCCTTTCCCTTACTAAATATGCAGTTAGTGCAGCCTTGACTACTGTTAATTGAATTATATCAGTCATCCTTAATGTATGTAGCCAGGAAATGGCCTTTTAGTATCACCAGATTTTTATGATATTTCTGGATGCAAATGATGCTTGTAAAACTAAATAAATTGTTTTTCATTTTTGCAGTGAAATAGTACGAAGAGAGAATGAGGAAAGGCAAGCATCAGGTGACAATTGAACTGAATGGAGAAATTTCGTCTGCTGGTAGAAATATTAAGTATAGAATCTAGTGAGTTAATAAAGTGGTTGCTGTCTTTTAGAATTGAACTTACGTTTAATCTAGTTTTTTCATGTTTGGTGTTTTGTGACAACTTCAACTTATTGAACTCTTATTGTGTCTTAGGATGAAATTTACATATAAGGAATGCCTTAAAACCAACAAGTCTGTAGAAAATTTTATAATGCAATCTATAAGTCTATGGTTCTACTAGAATATTCTATGAGTTTGTGGTGCTTTATACCATGAGAAGCAAATTTGTGCTTATAGTTTGTGCAATTTCACTGTATTGGAGGAGTGATTTGAAGAACGTGGAGCTTCTGGGATCCAAATTGCTAGTTATTGTAAATATTTGTGTGTGTGTGTGTGTGTAAACTCACACAAAGAGTCATGCAACTCTGAGACAGTTTAGGGGTCAGGAGTAGGAAGTTCTGGCTTGGATGCTTTTGCAAGGTTCTTCTTGAGTTATGAATGAGCCAAATAAGCTAGATAGATAGTGTTGTTTGGGTTCAGGGTTCATTACTATCCATTCCAGTGTCCTAGGGTTTGTGCCACAAGTCAAATTACATGGTAAACGTCATGTTGAAATGACATGGTCATAGGATGATAAACTAGTTTCTGAAATGATAGTTGCTAGGTGTTTTGCTTGTGGCTTTTGTAGCCAGATGTTAAGGGGGAGAAACTGGTGGAGGAAGAATGAACCATTATCTTCTGTCCTCTTCCTGGAATAAGTTGTAGCTGGGCTGGAAGATGTCTGATAAAAACAATAGAAGGTTGAAAGAGCTCACTTTTAACTGACTAGCTAGTTGTCATTGGAAGAATTTTTCAGAATTTTGAACTCGTTAGTTTTTCATTTTCTGATGATTAAACTTTCAAGAACGCCTCCTGAATTACTTGATTCTGAAAGCACGTTTTTAGATTTCAGTGACTGCCTGGGGAAAAAAAAGAAAAAAACAGAAATTGGTGCAATCATGTTTGCTTGATGAATATTTTGTGAACCCAATAAGAGGGATAGTTATGAACAAAAATCGTTTTTGTGCTGGAACTTTTTAACTCTTTCTTTTAGGACCAAGGAAAGCTTAGAAGACATTCTGTACTTATGGGGGATAAATTTCACTCTAATGTGCTTTTATAGATGGAGGTCAATGTAGTGAGAAATGAGAAAATTAATGGGGTGTATTAATGTAGTGGTAAATGATTTTTACTATGTTATCAAAATTAATTAACCCAAATATGAATGATTTTTACTGTGTTATCAAAATTAACTAGAATAGTATTTCATGTTAATAAGTACTGCTTGTGATCAAATAGGGTGTGGATGGTTTAAACACATTTTAAAAAAAGTTAATCCAAACCCTAATTACAGATTCAATTTGATCCAAAATAATTTAATAATGAAAAGTGCTAACACTTACTTTGGTTTAAAAGAATCGAAACTATTAATCAACAAGAAGTATTTTTAGCAATAATAAAATAAAATAATGAAAGTTGGAGTTAAAGTTGAAGGATATATAATCTTCGACACTCTTTAAACTATGCTACATTGTGTAGAGGTTATGGGAAATTGTTTCAATGATTTTGCGATGGGTACAAATTATTTAAATTTAAAGTATTTTTCTTCATATATATATATATATATATATACTTAATTATGAGATACTAAATAATATTTAATGGTATTCATGGAATTGACTTGAGTTCGGGCCAAGCTCGTCAAACTTAGGCCCCATTTGGATTCTGATCCAGCAACGATTAGGCGACAATGAAACTTGTAATCGCACCATTTTTTTCGTTTGGTAGCAATTGTGCGCTGGTTCATCGTGCTATAGCTCTAGTCATGTATTAGACTCTCACAGGTCCAACGACAAAACGCAAATTTTAATGGGGATTTTTTTTTCAATTTTAACCCTCTTTTCTTTTATATTTTTCAACTCTATCTTTTCTTTAGTTTTGTTTTACTTTTAATTTTTATATTAAAAATTTTTTACCATTTATTTTTTGATGAAGTCAAATTATTTTTTATTACTCATTATTCGATATAATTTTTTTAAAATTTTTAATTAATTTTATAAATATTTAATAATTTAAATTTTTTATTTCATATAAATTTTAATATAATATTTTAGTGATATTTTTTTCAACTAAAATTCATCTCATTGTCATTATTATGTTTGTGTTCAAACATATATCTTTATTATTAATTTTAATTTTATAATTATAGTAATCAGTTTTATTTATACTATTATTTTTAATTTTATCGTCCATCTAAATTGATTTTTATTTTTTAAAAAATCAAGTTACAATCCAACTTAATTAGCTTATTTAAATAATAGTTTATTAATAAAATATTTAAAATATTTTATACTAATATTTTAAAGATGATTTTTTGCATTTTAGTGGAATTTTTTTTTTATTTTCTCTAGCCGAAGAAACTGTCATGTTTCCTTTTTTTTTTTTTAATTTTTTTTTAAAAATTTTAATACCTATAGGTGGCAAATGGGTAGATTGAGCTGGGTTTAGGTTGGCTCAAAAAACAATTGAGTCATTTTGAGTTTAGGTTAAGAAAAGTTTTAGGCATTTTAGATTTGGATTATTTTGGATTAGAATTATTTTGATTTTGAATTATTCGAATTTGTGTTATTTCAAGTTTAATATTTGAATCATTCAAGTTTAATTTGTTAACTTTTAAAATTAAATAATTATAATTATAATTAAATAATATAAAAATAAAAATTCAAAGTTAAATGATTTTGAAGCCATTTATTAATAATATGAAACTATATTCTGTTAAATATGAAATTAATTTTGTTCATAATAAAAACTTATTAATGATTTTTATTTATTGATATTTAATACTTATTTTCAATATTTTATGTATTAATTATTAATTTATTATTAATGATTCACATTGATTTCATACAATCATATTAGTCAACATTATTCATTAGCAATAAATTAAAAATAGACAAGTAATTAGATAATTAAAAAAGGTTGACCACTAGAGTTATCACTAAAGAGCATGATAATATTAAAAAGAGTATTAGTGGTATTGATTATTTAATTAACCCAATGGTCTAATTTTAATGCTTATTTTTTTCTAAAAAAATCAAAATTATTTAGATATAATCTTAATTTAATTTTAATAATTGACCATTTAAATAATAAATAGTATAATAAAAAATAAAGATGAAATATTAGTATATTATTTGTTGGCTCCGTCGATGGCGTCAGAAAGAGATTTTAATAATGAGGATTGAACAAATTGTTTCTTAATATGTAGGATTTACAATTTAATTGTCTTGAATTGAAATTATTATGATTATGAATGACATGACTATATTTACTTGCAGTAGGATATTCATCATATTTCATTATTATAATTGATTATGTATGATATGATTATGTTTACTTTAAATAAATAAATAAGACTATGTTTACTTGGCCTAGGATTATGATTATGTATAATAGCTATTACTTAATAATAATAAAAAATCAAAAAACAATTTAACTGTTTAAGAGATTTTGGGGCTTCAGTTAAAAGTTCAGAAAAAAGAATGAGAAAAAGAAGAAAAAAAAAAAGAAAAAGAGAGCCTTCACAGGAATATTTGAATCTGAAGGCACAGAAAAAGATGACAACCTGCCCCAGTAAGAGTTCAATTGCATTCAAATGCAGCATTAGAATTAATTTTTATATTGATATGGGCTAGTGCTTCAATTGAGCCATATGTTAAAGAAATTAGGCATATAAATTTGATTCTAGTGGAGGATTCCAACATTGTAATTAGACCTGATGAAATAAACCTGAAACCCAAAAAAACTCAAACATGAACTTAAAAGGCATGCTAAAATAGTTACATTTTTTTTTTTTTTTTATAAATCTAAAAAATAACTTGACTAACCTAAACTTCAATCAAGCCTAAAAAGCTCAAATATGAGAAGAACTTAAAAAAATCCAATTCGGAATTTAGGCAAAATGTATGATTTACAACTTATCATCCTTTTTTTTTTTTTTTTTCTGTACTTAACTTTTCACTTTTATTTTTCTTGGAAAATGAGAATTAAGGGTAGGGATAGAAAGTTACAATTCATGGGCCACTTCCAAATAAATGCAGTTTGGGCAACTTAAAAAAGTTGATGAGAGCAACCTGGTCATCTTTCACCTAACAATGATTCAAGAAGAGCAGCTTCTTCTTCCTGCAAAAATTGAGAATTAAACCCACAACAACTATTAGGTCATTTCATCGGTCATTGACAACAAGGCAATTAGTAGCGGCACATACCACCAAGGCATTAAATTCAGTTTCCTCATCAATGGCACTCATGATAGCAGGATCCTCCAGCAGATCCTGTTAGCGCATGATACACACTACTTAGAGCCATACCACATATACGTGCTCATATAAAACTCACTTCACAAAAACTAGTTAAAAAAGCCAAAGGGAGGGAAAGAGGGCAAGATAACAACAGCAATACATAGTTGCAAACTGAAAAGCAACTGCTCAGCATCATCCTCTCAAATGAGGAAGATCCTCCGGTGTACATATCTAGGAAAATCTAGATTTCTCCATCTGTCTCTCTCTCCCTCTCATACACACACAAAGTTATATGCATGCAAAGCTAACCCTATAGTAAGTTGATGGAGACTTGACATATTTTCTAGGACCTATGCCAAGACCAAGAGTAATCAGCCACTGGGCATGCTGTGCATACTGGGCCTAAAACTATATTTGTGTGTGTGTGAGAGAGAGAGAGAGAGAGAGAGAGAGAGAGAGAGAGAGAGATCACCCCTAATGAATTCAGGGCAATCCAGAGTGATTCAGCATTTGAAACCCCTTTGGCATGATTGCTGCCAAGAAAAATGCTCCTTAGCTCTTGATTTGCCTCATAAAGCCCTCAAAACCACAATTTTTGTTTCATATACCCTTTTCAAAGTTCCATACCAAAATTCATAAGTGTATAGAAGATGTAAAAGTTGTGTACTGAATCACACTGGGAAATTATTTACGTTAGGTGGGTGAAGGACTCTAAATGAGAGCCAGCATGTGCATGCACATTAACATGAAAGTGAAGACTCTGAGGTAAATTACAATACAATATTATTGACAACAGAGAATGAATGTATAGCACTATTTACCGTATTGTTATAATCTAGAGGAATAGAGAATGAAGTAGTCAAATAAAAAAATTCAATGATTTCTATTGCAAAATGTAAAATGTTGCTTACATCATCAGCAACTTGCAGCATTCCATTCTGATCCTGCAGAAACAAAACCCAGTTTTATCAGCTTCCCAGTTCATCCTAGTATTCATAATGTTTCTTCTCTTTTGTATTTCCCTAAACCCAGCTTTTAAAGTCCAGATCTTAGACACATGGGCATAAAATTCAATCAAAACTGAAGCCCAGCCACATTCAAGTCTGAAACAGTAATTCCTTCAAGTATATTTATATTACCTTGACAGCAACAAATAGAAGTGGATCAGACGGTGTATAAATCATGTAATGCGCGCCATCCTGCATAGAAAATCAGGATTCGACAAGAAGTATCAAATTAAATAATAATGATGATGATGATGATGATGATGATGATGACTATGTTATATATACCTCTGTTCAAATGTCCATATGTTGACATAGCTATACCTCTTTTACTGTAAATATATGTGGCAAATTCAGGAATTCAATTAAAAAAAGAAAAAGGTTAAATAACACTTTTGTCCCACAGCTTCTGAGTAAATAAATGCCTTCTATCTAGAATGCCAGATATAACAATCCACTATAAATTCACATGCTTATCTAAACACCAAAAAACTTAAAGAGGAGACTAATTTCTCCCCCTCCCCTCCTACTTCAATAATCAAACAAATATGAAACTTCCAACTATTATAACATGTGTAACTTTTAAATGCTAACATGTAAACGATAATAAACTGTGGTAACTTATCCGGAAAAAAAAAAGTAAAAAGATAATAAACTGCAGTAAGATTCATGCTTTTTTTATGTATGCTATGTGTAGGGGTTAAGACAATGTGTCCAATATTCTTGATCACAGGGCATGAGAACCTGCCAAATACATATCAAGTCCGCATCACTCTTTTAACATAAAGATCAAACACAAACAAAGTATAGGAAAATTATGCTAACACATCCAATCTTTTATGAACAAGAATTACGGTGAGAAAAACAAATAGAAAACAGAAAAAGAATAAAAGCCTAATTATTATTGATAAGGAAATGATTTGCTCAAAATTCCCAAAATAGGATGCAAGACTTATACACAAAAGTTAAACATGAGCACTGAAAGGATATTAGATATACTGTAGTAGGATTCACCCATTTAATATATGTCGTGCTTTTAGATGCATCTCTGTGGCCATTAAAGCAGTGACTAAAATATTCTAGGTCACAGGGCCTGAGACCCTTCCAAATACATATCAAATCAGTATCACTCGTTTGATGTAAAGCATCAAATTTTAACAGACCTCAAGTCAGCAAAAGGTGCGAGAATGATGCTAACACACCCAATCTATTATGAACAAGAGTTACTGCCACAAAAAAAAAAGGAATAAAAGCCTGATTATCATTGATAAAAGTTTGCTGATTGCTAAAATACCCAAAAGAGGATGCAATCCTCATATGATAAGGGTAAATATGAGCATTAAAAGAGAACCATTTGGTGAACAAAGACAGAACTACAGAAATGGATGACAATTAAATTGAAAAAAAGAAATCTAACTCCTAAATGTACAAAAAAAAACTCAAAAAAGGAGATTTACAAAATGCAGGGATAGAGTTTCTACATGTTATAGAACTTTTATTTTGCAATGCAAGGAATATAAAAGAAACCGGCATTTGCAGAAGTGTAATTAATAATCCTTGGAAATGACATTACCACTTACAATTTCCCTGACAGTAGTTCTCACTGTGAGTTCAAAAATTTCTATGAACACAGACTAAGGGGTGCAAGAGATGATTCTGAGAGTGTGATCAACCATTAAAAGAGGCATCTTTTTTGGAAAATATGAACACTTGGCCCTTAATATATGGCTTTACAAAACATACAAGGCAAAGAGATATAATACCAGAAGCAACTGAAACTCTAACAAAGTTAGAAGCAACAATAAAGAACAAGACCAAGTTATGAAAATGCATCACAGAGTGAAGACTGATTTGCTTCAAACTGAAAATGAAAAAAAAAAAAAAAAGAAGATCAAGAATAATGTTAGTCAACCAGAAAAGACATTTTGACTGATTTTTAAAAGATGATATGGAGAGAATTGGTGACAAGTTGATGGAGGAACAATCTTCAAATTTGGTGGAATTTGTTTTATTATGCAGCTTAAAAAAGTTTATTAAGCTCATATAAGACTTTAGAGGCAGCATTTGACAACCGAAAGTTTGGTACTAAAACTTGACTACTCAGGCTTGAGATTTGAGATTTCAAAATTGAGTTTTTTGGATATTTTCTTGGAAATTAGTTTGAGATTAATTATTCTACATAACAAGCTCAATATGGTCAGTGCCAATTGCCAAATAGTCAGAATATAAATCTCTAAGCTGTCATGGACAATTTCAATATTATCGAGTTTCCAATTATCAGCAATTGCTCAACTTTTACACCTCCATGTTCCCTAGATATCTTATGTAAATAAATAGAAAATCAATTTTCACCTACAACTTTGACTATTATGAATCACAAGATTACTATTCCAATATAAAAGTACACATTAGCTGACAACATAGGAGTTTGAAAATTCTTAATAATGATGTAAATGCAGCAATGCAGGTCTTTGGAGAAGAGCTGTAACTCATGCAAGCCGGTTCAGTTTCAGATGAAACATTGAAATGGAAAGAAAACTGAGGGTTATTACCAGATGGAAGCATGTAATTTCGATGCCCTCGGTTGGCAAGCCATCTATATCTTGACCATCATCTGCAAAATTTAAGCACCAAACATAAACATATTACCTCACACGGCAGAATACCTAATAAATATTTGACAGTGTCATAAGAAAATAGGGAACACTAAAGAATGCAAAAGTCTAGAAAGTGCACCATACCCAGACCCCAAGCCTAAGCCTTTCTTCATACAGCTTGAATCCTAACACCATAATAATTTCTCAACCCATTTTGACCAAGCAACACATCCACAATAAGATAAGAATTCATGCTGTTATCTTAATTTGTAGAGAAAATTAATCTGTAAGGATAGCATCTGGAGACTTGGAAGCTTCATTAAAAGAGGAATCTTCTTCCCTCAATCTTCTGCATTTCAGAGGAAGAAGAGGAGGGCAGAAAATGAGTGGTAAGGTGTTGCTACCATTCACTTGCCTTCTAAAAGAGATCCAAACAAGGAGAACTAGAATGCCCTACCCTCTAACTCTCTTTGCCTCCCTTCACCCACAAGGACACAAGGAATAATCAAATTCAAACCTCCTTTTCTTTCTTATATATAGTTAAACAGGGAAGATGGGGCTTCAAACTTGATTACTCCTTTTGGAGGTAAGATTCAATAACTAGAGCTATTGCCTCAGTCATGACTAGTTTTCTGCAATTCAAAAGCCTAAAAACATACTCTTCACCATTCAGACTAACTCAAAATCTGCATAGGCAGATTTCTTAAATCCACCCTACCTTAAAAGTTCAGAGAAGTTTATCCACCAAAAAGAAAGAGAAAATTCAGAGAAGTATGCATGACTTTAACTTTGGAGAATGTCCAGTCAACCCTAATGTTAGAAAATCATAAGAGCCAAAAGCAAAAGCATAAAGCAGATAAGTAGAAGAGATTGCCTGTGCGGAAATCAAAGATGTTATCTTCTGAGAAGCAAAATCCTCCACGAGCCGTATAACAGAATCTGATGTGACACAAAGATATTGGAATATATAATATCTAGAAATATAGGAGAAATAAGCTATACTGATTTTTTGAACATACCCACTATGGACTAGATGCATATGTATTTTTGCAAGAGCATATGCAGCTGTAGGAAGAATAGCTTCAACTTCTTCATCACTGACCTGAAACAAAGAAGCATGTACGTTTGTTAGCTAGGTTGTAGACCCTGTGGAAGAGGAAAAGAGGAGTTGATAGTTTTTCCTGTGTGATGGAGATGGGATATTTTCTTCTATAATATACAAACAAGGCTTACTGAATTCTATATATTCTAAAGTCTGTTCAAAAGCTATTAAAAAAATTACTCCCAAGTAATTAAGTCTGAAAAGATTCAACACAGGAATAAAAACTACTGTGGAAGAGGAAACATACAGCTGACCATCCATCAATATTTATACTCTTTAATATCTCAACAGGCCTGCAGAAACCAAGCTCTTATCAAATATCCAGAGCCAGCAATAGACCAATAGTTAATGTCAAATACCTTTTTGATGAATTACACATCCACATTTAGAGCAAGAATACATACATGTCAACTGGGCAGAGCAGCATACATTCATCCCCCCGAGAACTTTTGAATACCCTCCTTATAACACACTCTAATGGGCTGTTGTTGGCAGAATCAACCTGTCCATAATTTCTTTAGAACTTCTTTAATTAAATTAAAGATAAAAAGAAGCAAATAACTTACCCTATTTACTAGAATAAAGAAATAGAAGAAAACCACTCATTTTGAGCAAGGTATGAAAAATTTATGGTCACAACAAGCATTAACTATTTTACTTAATGGAGCATGGAGAGCACTAGAACAAAATCCTTGATGCATCATTGTAACCTCTCTTTCATTTACACTGTAAAGGATTTGTTCACATAATCTAATCCCAAGATAGATGTAACTCAAGGTATAGTTGAAAATTCTTGCGGCTTGCTTGTGCAAAACAACTAGAATCGGCTAGAGCAGAGTGCTAGAACAAGATGCACGAATGGCAAACAGATAATTCAAGCTTTTTAAGCAATTAAGGTCATGTTTGGTGCATAGGCTTTTTAAGCAATTAAGGTCACGTTTGGTGCATAGAATGATAACCATCCTATATTATGTTGGTTTGTATCTAAAGAAGTTATAGCATTACAAGGAGGATTAATCATCCTCTTGGTATAGGATGATTCAATCCTCCCAAAGTGGAGAGGATTATTTTTAATCCATAGGATAAAACTTACATGTTCTCTTATACCCTTAAAAATTACATCAACAATTTAAATTGTATAAATTTTGAAAAAGGATAATTTTGACTAATAAATAAATTACCTATCATAATACTTGCACACATCAAACACAAGATTGGATGAGATTATTTAATCTAATTCTATTCAAAATATCATCTTTATCCTATCCTATCATAATCTTGTGTACCAAACACATCCTAAAGGACTTAGCTAGCTTTGACTGCTAAACATCACAGCTGCTATCACACAACAGCAATTTTGCTGCAGTTAAACTGATGGAGGACAAAAAGAGGGCTAATTGCAGAATTAAAATTATTTAAGAATTTATTTATTTATTTTGTTATACTTTTTAAGGGCTTTATTGTCACTTCTGGAATTTAGGGTATTTTAAGATTTTATTTAATGCTCATACCCGTTTTCTTTGCCCATTTTCTTTTTGGTTGTCATGAAACTATGAACACCTTATACTCTTACTTTTTCTATATTTCAAAATTATTCCTTCATTTTTTACTTTTGGCATTAAAAATCATAGAACATAGATTTTATAAAAAAATTAAAATTTTAATATAAGATACACCATAGTCAAAGGTTTTTTCTTAAACTCTGTAAAAGTCAAATTAGGATAATTAAAATAGGTTGCAGAGAGTAGTTCACATTTCTATTAGGGTTTACAGTGTAACCTACGGGTACCTTATTTTATTTCAATTATTAGTAGCTCATTATTAAGAGGTGAAAATATTTAATTTTGAGATTTCACTCCCTTGGTTCTATCGTTTCTCTCCCCTAAATTTCTCTATTGTTTCTCCTTTCCCTGTTATTTCTTCCTATTTTCTGTATTACCCCTCTTTCCCCTTCCTGTTCTACATCAAAAACACCATTATGAGCATGATTTGGTTATGGCATTGATTTGGCCAAGTTGGTGGCATTGCCTACCCTTACTGACATGTTGTAATCTGACACAACAAAATCTCATACTCTTTTCTATGTTGAGTCATATCAACGGGCATTTTTGGCTTTCTTTCAGCTAGTCTTTATCACTTGTAGGCACACCTCTTTTTGTCCAGCTCATAAGCCAAACTCTAGCAAGGGTACTATGTTGAGCTCAACTCAACTTGTTTACAACCCTAACCACACATAGCCAAGCTGGTCAATCATCAATAAGTAACTTCAAAAATCCAAGTTAGGTTCTCTGGTAATTAGAAAAGCTTCATATGCCAACATCAGTGAATTGTTATCCAATTTCCTAGTGCTAGAAGCAAATGGATGATAAAAGACTTTAAGAACATTGTCAGTCATCTACCCTAATACTAACATACTTCTTGAAATAGCTGTTGACAGCAATCAAGATCTATCCCTCATTTGTTGACAGTAATTACGATCTATTTCCTGATTTGTTGGGATTTAGGATCTATTTCGTAATTTGTTGGGATTTCCTGATCATTATTTACTATTACTTGTTTCTAATGTTTAGATGATTGCTCCTGATTTTATGGATTTTTTTATTCCTCTATATATTTGAGGATTATCTCTCAATAAAAGTTAGAGAACATTGTTTCTTTAGTTCTGCTTTCAACAACTATGATTCATTTACTCCATATTTCATGTTTACATGTGCAAAAGAGGACCTTTTTCTTGATGCTTAGAGCAGTCAAGTATTACATACTATTATACTAAATAGATATTTATAATATAATTAGTTGATCCATATAAAAATAAAGTTATGCATTTTCTTCTCTAAAAATTTTACAAAGCTAATTTTGAAAAACTATTCAAAACTATTTTACCAGTATTTAATCTCATGTTTCCTTTCACTTTCAGAAATAACCAATTAGCCCTAGAACTATATCGCTGTTCACAATTTGGCACCTATAAAAAAAATTCACCATTAGATATACAAACTTTGTTTTCATCAAGCATTTTGCACCACACACTAATTATGTTCAGGGTAAGCTTATGCATTTTTATTTGTTAGTCAACGGTGTAAAATGTTTGAAGGAAACAAAGTTGACCTAACTAATTGGCTAGTCCTGAAATTTTTTTCTATAAATACCAAATCGTTAATAGTAATATAGTTCATGGGCTAAATTCTATATTAACCCTTACAAAATCAACAAACAAACCTTAGCTAAATAAATAGAAGTAACAACCAATAGCTTCAAAAAAGAAAAAAAAAACTCACAATAGTGGCAATTCTCTTGTTTGAGGCCATGAGAACCCTGCCATTGTCATCAACCACAAACCCAGCAGGCGGTTTGGGCAGTGATGGAGGATGATATATTAAAGAACGCGAAGTAGTAGTCGAAGAAAAAGCTAACGCTTCATTATCATAAGCAGTTTCTTCCACAATCTCAACATCCCTCAAACTCAGCTTCTTTAGATTATCATCACCATGCCCGCTTTTTCCCTTCCTCCTCTTCTTATTCCCAGCTGCTGAGGACGACCGTTTCTTGACAGGTCCACCCGTCTGGGACTTTGCAGCAAAGCAGAGAGGGAGCAGTGAAGATGTAGAGCTGTAGGTGGGGTTTTGGCAGGGGACTGAGACTGGAAACCAAGGGAATGAATTTTTATGGTGGAAACAAGGGAAATTGGAAGGGGGTGTTGAAGTGAAGGGAATTGAGGACGCCATGTTATAATTATTACTAAGGTTATAGTTTTTGCTCTTTGTTTGTTGTGGATTTACAGTGAAGGGTGAAGAGGGAAGAGTACGCAGTTTTACTCCTTATTTGTTGTAAGGCAGCCATAGATAAACTTCAGTGTTCATATGTCAACTGCAGATATTTTGGAATTTGGATTCGGACGAATTGGACTTCGGCGGTTCAATTTGGACCGGGTTATGGGAATGTATGATAAATATATATTATTAAATATATTATTAAATGTATAATAAATATTTATTATTAAATATTATGCGGTATGTATAATAAATATATATTATTAAATATATAATTTTGGACTTAAATAAATATTAAATATACTACAAACTTAATAAAATATATATTTTTAAAAGCATACTAATAATCAACTATTATATCTATATAATTAATAATTACATAATTAAATAATCAATTAATAAATTTTAATTTAATTAAATAATTAAACCCACATACAATTAGAATTAAATCTAGGACCTCAAGATTTTAAAACCTCCACATTGTCACTATAAAATATATATTTTATTTATTGATATTCTCTCAAATAATTAAAAATTTATATCACATCACATAAAAATTTTTGAATAATAAATTAATCTTGAAATCAATTGATTTTTTTATATCTATTCAAAAAAAAAATCAAAGTAATATCTGGGGTAAAATTCAAGTATATTTCTTATGGTATTCAACTTTTGTACTTATACTTATATGAATTTTTTTTTTCACTTATAACTTTATGGTTGATTATCATTACCAAAAAAGGTAATAATGACAAAAATAAACTAGATTTTATAAAGCTTAAAAAATGCCCTCAACCCTATAGCCATTGATACAGAGTTAAATTAAAATTAACGTGTTTTTTTTTTTCTTGTAAACACAATTTTATAGAAAACACCATAATATTTGAAGATTTTGGTTTTTGCTTTCTTTTAGGAAATTTCAAGTTTGAAATTTGAGTGAACAAAAAGTATTCAAAGAAAGAAGATTTAACATAAAGGGGTTAAAAGATTCTTGGGATTTTTCTTGGGTGTTTAAGATATGTGAACCCAGAGGTATAAGACACAATCAAGAATCAAAACCAATTTAGAGACAATTTGTGATGAATCTATATGCTGACAAGGGTAATAGTATGAAGCTATGGGCCAACTTGATGCAAGTAAAAGCTGACAATGATAGTATAGGAAAGCTAAAAGTGCAATAAAAAACATGAGTTGATAAAAAAGGAAATGAAGCTGAAAAATGAATAAGCTGAGCCGAGAGTTAAATCAAAGTTGAATTGGGAACTAAAATGAGGCCAATAGTTGAAATAGACCTGAAGTCGATGGTTAGAAGGGGAGTTGATTATGTAAATGCAAACAAAGATGGTGGTGCAATCAATTGTGCTGATTTGGCAGCTAGATATTAGTTAATTTGCATAAAATCTTTGTACTAGAAACAACTATCATTCAATTTACAATTTTTAGCTAAATTTTTAGTAAATTTGTTAGAGGATTTGTAGCACATGTTAAACATATATTATATCAGTGTTGTAATAATCAAACTATGAATGAAAATATCACAAAATTTTGCTTCTATTTTTTTTGTTTCTTTTTAATTCTCTGGTCTATTTCTTTTGGTTTATTCTATCTTATTCTTCTTCTTAATTGGGTTTCTTCAGTCATAGCTAATCTGTGATAAATTGGTATTAAAGCCTGGAAAGATCTAACCAACATGGAAAAAACAACAATCAGAAGATAAAATACTTGTTATCTTAGAAGAGCAACTTTAAAATTTGTAAATTCAATTAGAGGTAATGAACAACCTATGTTCCCAAATGGTGAGAAAAGCAGAAAAGTTTTGAAGCTACGCTAGATGCCATATTGGATAAACAACAGTAACAAATCTACCAAGTGCTTGAGTTGTTACAACCATAAGGAACCGTATAAGCTTCACTTGAGACATGTGGTATCACTAGCAATCAACTAGTGTGGTATCATTAACGATTAACCAACCTCAATGTCACAATTTAAGGAAAAAGTCATAGACTAGGAAGTAGACCAATATGACTTTTGAGAAACCAAATAGGGTACTATCAATGAGGTTCTTATTGTTTACAAGTCAATCATGAAATCTCTATCAACCCAAAACGTAGACTTAAAACTCATTAGAGGACCATCAAAGGTAGAATAAAAATTTTTTTTTTATTTTTCTTTTATCTAAAGAACCAACCAAAGGTAGAATAAAAAAATTTCTTTTAATTTTTCTTTCATTTGGTAATCTTTATTTGAATTGTTTCTTCTACAAAGGTCTTAACACACCATATGATTAGGGTGTAGGAAAGATAAGCAAATTTGATAAAGAAAGGATTTATACGACAGTAAATGAGCTTTTTAGTAAGCATTCTAAAATTATTGCTTTTAATCTTAGGGCTATTGCTAGGTACTTGAAATTTGATATTAAAACTTTAATAATGAAAATATTTTTTATATAAGTTGTAGATGTGAAATGGTGTCTTTCGATTGATCTATCTTATGATAAGATTATTTTTTTATACCTAAAAAACTACTTAATCTAGTTCCTTTGAAAGATTATTGGCATTCATGCTTTGACAACCAAGTCGAATTCAATGGATTCACTACACCACAGGAATATCATAATAAGGTTGCAAAGCATTCATTTTATGGGATATTAGCAAAGTTGAGACATGGAAATAAGGTCATAATAGCTTTTTGTACTACAAATGATGCCTTTATGGTTGTTAACTATGTCTGTGTTGAAGATGTCTTTGTGCAAAAAGAGATTATCCTTTACCATACTCTTGGAGAAAGGATAAAGCTTGTCTTAATTATTAACAAGATGGATGGGTTGTTCCTCAAGATCCAAGTTGATGAAAAGAAGGCCTATGACTACTAATGATCATGCCCTGGAGTTTGTTCTTGATTGGATTACAATCATAATAAATGGTTATTATGGTCTTGAATTCAATAATGTATACACTGTACTTGGTTGTGGGGTCATTTCTATTAAAACTCTAAATTAATTTATGCTTAGGTTTGATTCTGAGATTGGTAAGTTAGCTCAAAGTGTGTTGATCAACCTAAGAAAAATTAACTATCATACTAAAATGATTACAACCAAGATTACTGTAAGGGTTGGGAAACCAATCGTTATTGAGCTTCCTAATGTCATGAAAAATGTTAGTACAGCTCTTATTAAAGAGGTTGTAAGTACAACTAATGACTCTACAAGTGATGTGACAATTATGGCATCTGTTCTTGCATGAGAAATAATCAAACTTATAAGTGTTCCCTCTGGTGCAAATCTAGTCTTAGTAAATAACAATATTGATAAAATCATACAGTGGTTAAAAAAAGAGCTAAAAAAAATGGCCAAGCCTATTAAAGGTAGTGATGATGTCAAAGTTGTGACCTTCATTTTTGTTGGAGACAATGACCTTATTGGATTGCTATTGCAATTAACAAAATTGGGCTTGATGATATTTGTTCATTGAATTATCATCCTCATTTAAGACCATAGTTGTTGATGATGAAATGGATATAATGAGTACTACTAATCTTCGACAGGGATGATACCTCACAGCATCAGCTTTGTTTCATGGCAAGATGAGCATAAAAAAGGTTGATGAAAATAATGAAAAAGTGGTTGCCAATGCTGTTATGCTTGGTTTTTTATAGAGTTTCTTATTGAGAGTTCCCATGGGCATTTTAAGAGAGGAACAAATGCTAAACTTGAGAAACTTTTAGGAGACCATATGTCAAAAATCAATGGCTAAATTGTCAAAGTCAGAGTTTGTAAACATGTGTGGGAATTGCAAATATGCTAGGATCATTTGTTGCATTGATTTTGATGCACAAACTAAGAAAAAAGTTATTTTTCATTAGAAGTTTTTCAAGCATGATATTGATAATGGGCCTTCAAACAACTTTCAGTTAGTCCTTCAGTCTCAAGCAGTTATGAATTATATATATTTATTGGAGGTATACTACTATTTAAATTAACCTTTGCTAATGGAGTTGGATTAGTCCTTGGTTTTCTCTTATAAGAAATGTTTCTTAATCAAATTTAGACCCGATAATTTGCATATTCATATAATGTAAAATATTGATAATTCGTGTATTCGTGTCATGTTTTACATGAAACTAACGTGTAACAATTCGTATTAACATGAAAATATAATTTTTTTATTTTATTAAAACTATTTATTATTTTTGCAAAAATTTTAAATCGTGTTATCTTTGTGTCTTTTATTCATATCATTTTTATATCGTATCATTGTATCATGTTTGAGATTGCTAGGTCTAGTCGGATAAAGGCAAAGATAATATCAATTTATATGGCTACTCATTGAGTGATAATTTTTGAAAAACTTAAAGAGCTTGATCATATGAGTTCGGAAAAACTATAAATCTCTTAGCTCATAATTTTCATTCTTTGATCCTTAGGGACAAAGATCAATTCCATATGCTGACAAGGGTAATAGTATGAAGTTATAGGCCAACATGATGCAAGTAGAGGTTGATAAGGATAGTAAAGGAAAGCTGAAGGTGCAACAAGAAGTTGAGCTGATGAAAATGGAAATGAAATTGAAGAATGAAGAAGCTGAGTTAAGAGTTGAGTCAACAATTGAGTTGAAAACTAAAATGAGGCCAGTAGCTGAAATAGAGTTGAAGTTAGTGGCTAAAAGGAGAGTTGTCATGTGAATGCAGATCAAAATGGTGGTGCAACCAATTGTGCTGAATTGGTAACTAGATATTAGTTAGTTTGCATGGAATCTTTGTATTAGAAGCAGCTATCATTCAATTTACAATTTTTAGCTAAACATTTAGTAAGATTAAACATATATAATAGCAATGCTGTAACGATCAAACTAAATGAAAATATAACAAAATTTTACTTCTATTCTCTCTGATTCTCTCTAATTCTCTAGTCTATTTCTTTTAGTTTATTCTATCTTCTTCTTAATTAGGTTAATCAATCATAGCTAATCTATGACAAAATCCTAAGCAAACAATATATATGATGGATTTAGAAAAAAAATTCCACAAAGAAAAAACTAGTAAAAATTAACATAAAGGAATTTTGCAAAAAATAAGGGAAGGAATTGAATCAAACACAATCAAAACCTAATTACAAGCAAATAGAGGAGGGCAATTTATTAGCAAATTCAGAAGATCCAAACAC